TGAATATTACTGTAAATTCACTGTAAACTTACAGTGGCATTTAATCGCTTAAGCAAGCAGGGATTTCATCTTTGTTATTGTGGCACCATTCCTGGGGCCCGTAACATTATAGTTTAGTATTTTATGGCTTTGGCATATATGGCTGCTACAGGTATTAACTAACTTATCTTCATTGATGATGTAACTGCTGATGGCTGATGGAAGTTGCAGAATGAATTCTGAGGAAGATGGAAACATCTGCTCATGTTCCAGTAAATGCCTGCAATGCCTGCATTGAATAACTCTTCATCCTGCAACAAGATAACTTACTGCTAAGGCAACACAAAACTTTCTCAAGCCCCAAAAGGTTAGTCACCTGATAGATAGACATCAAAAAGGTGGTGAGCATCTATGACAGCTGGCACTGCATGCAAGGGATATGCAACAAAGTATTAAACATGACTGCATTCATGTACCTACCATTACTTTGTCCCAAGCACTGTTGTGCCCTAAAATGAGGTGGCAAGTGTTGTAATTGATATATGGTGGAACTAAAATGTATGTTAATGATTATGAATTAAAGTTCAGAATGTGCACTTTAATCACATCTGCACTGTTTGGTTTAAATTTTGACACTGAGAAGCACATTGTGGCTTTACCAGACACTGAGTCAGAGTAACAGGAAAAGTTGTCAGAAACCACAGAAATGTCACTCACGTTACCAAAGAACTGACACCCGCTCAGAGAAGATGACCTTGCACAATGTAGAACAGTATTTAATTTGCACAATGAAACCCTTTCACTTTCCTGTTTTGACTACATTTGTATATTTTAGTTTTCTCTGTTCTATTTTCTTTTTCAATTTTCTATATGTTGCTAAGAATGATGGGTTTTGAAAAGCCACCAGCTTGACAGATGTTGGATGTATTACTATTTACTACATACACTCTTTATTTTGTGAGCCAACTTATGTAAAATTACTGATTTACATATGAGGAAGAATAACAGAAACTGAAGTGACAGCTGCAAATAAGGATGAAAAAAAGGAAGTGGAGCTCACACTGTTTTTTCTGTTCATGTATCGATATGGCTCTCTATGCCAGGATTATTTATATGTTGACTGGACTAACAGGTATGAGGGGGAGGCTTTTAAAGTCCTTTAGCTTGTTTATTAATTTTTATGCTGATTTATAAAAGTTCCAATAACAAAAATATATTTGTAATAGCCTTGTAATTGTTTTTATTTTAGCCGATCAATGGAATTATTCCACTAAAGTGCTTTATTTGTTCTGTTCATGTACAAAATATAAGCCAAAAAGAAAAAACATTTTAAGCAAACGAAATAATATAATACTTTATTTGTTCTCTGCAGGAGTTCACAGCATAACTACAGTCAGTAAAGTCTCAGTGAAAACTGGGAAATCTATCTCCATCCCATGTCTCTATGAGTCCCAATACAAATACCATGTGAAGTACTTGTGTGAAGGATATTATTGGAACTCCTGCCGCTATGCAGTAAAAACAAACGCAGCACACCCTTCAGGAAAATATTCAATCTCTGATGACAAAAAACAGCAAATTTTCACTGTGACTATAAACCAGCTGGCCTATGAAAACACTGACTACTGGTGTGTGGTGGAGATTAATAATGGAGCAGATTATCGAAAATATTTTAAACTGTCAGTTACCAGTGGTAAGTGCACATCTTTGTACATATTTTACATTGTTTCCAGGATTTCTTGTCACGATTTCTAACAAAAAAAAACAACAAATATGTTTTTATTTTACTAAAAAAGACTGAATGTGCTCTCATTTGTTGTTAAACGTCAATAAGAGAAGATGTCTTAAGTCTGAATTTCAATGAATTTTGAAGGGTTTTTGTATGTATTATATTTTTTGTGAACTTTAAGGGACCCCCAGTCTCTATGTGGATCATCAGAGGATTACAGGATACATTGGAGAAAGCACAACTATCAGATGTCACCACAGTAACTCTGGAGAAATGAAGTGGTGCCGGCTGGGCAGGAACTGTGTGACAGGATCATCTGGATCCATAGATGGAACAACAGTGACCGCTTATATGAGAGAACCAAATGTTTTCACAGTGACAATGAGTGGACTACAGTCAGAGGACAGCGGCTGGTATTGGTGTGCTGAAGGGGACATTCAGATACCAGTATATTTAACTGTTACTGAGAAACCAATCACCAGTGAGTACAGCAAGCTATCATAAACTCCACATATATATCAATTCTATCCATTTTTAAATGTTAGTACTCTAAGAGATATTAGGATAATGATTGTCATAGTGCTCTAGTAATTACTTATGTATATTTAATTATAGCCACTGCCTCTACTGTTGCTCAAGTTACTGGAAATGGAACAATTCACACATTTGAAGACAAACAAGAAAGGTTTGTTTTTCAGTTTTATGTGCAGTATTTAATGAACTGTTCTTGTAAGGGGAACTGTCAAAAATTCCTTTATGCATGTCATTGTTCCTTGTTAAGCTTAACTAAATTATACATTTTGCAGAGTTCCATTTGACCTAAAGATCCTCATCATTCCTCTGAGCCTGCTGGTCGTGGTTGTAATTGTAGCTTTTCTTATCTGGTTTATAATAAGACAAAGTAAGTGTTATTGAAATCATTGAAACATTTAAAATGCAATTAAAGTTTTGAATATTGTGCATTGTTACACGGTCAGTAACAGCAGTTATCTTTTACTAGAGCTGAGAAAAGCAGAATCAACTCCCACAGCAAAGGTAAGAGATCCTGTGTGACAGGTCTACATGCAAAGAGTTCTGTGTGACACCAGTCTGACAGCGTTTAGTCTTTCTGTAAATTACATTTTGGAACAATTAACGATTCTACACAGATTGATGAGGAAGTGACATACGCCAGTGTAAGAAATGTGGGAAGAAAAACAGCTGAGGTAGCCCTAACATACCACAGCTAAACATTTATATTTAAGAATATAAGTAGACATTTTTTTTAAAGCATGTTGGAACTGTAAAGTGTTGGCTTTCTATTTTTGTTCATTCCCAGGGGTCATTTACAGAAGGTGATGGGGAAATCACATACAGTTCAGTTGTGACCATAAAGAATCAAAGTATCAAAATGGTAAATATTAAACATGATAGCAACCGCATCCTGTTTCCCACTTCCTGTGTTTCCTTCGTTTAAAATGTTGTTGTCCTGGTATTTTGTGTGTCACTTGGAATGTGGTCACATTCTGCTCCCCCCCCCCCAACTGTCATTTTTGTTTCTGTTCTCCAACAGGGTGAAGAAAAAGGCACAGAAGCTACATACAGCACATTAGCTACTCTCCACTGAAATATTTAAATATTATAACTTGGCAACTTTTTTGTCACGTTTAACTGTTGTTTAACAAACTATATTCCTAAAGTATATTCCTGCATATTTGCAAAGGGAGTCAAAGAAGCGTTGATCTGTTTGCTCTTTTATAGAGATCAGTGACATTATTCTTGTTTTTTATTGTAATAAAGAAGCATTGCAAGCATCAACAATAATGGCTAATCCTGACTTCTATCATCTTTGTTGAATGAGAGTGGAATGATATACTATTTGGAACGATTAAGCATGCAGTCTGCCTTTACGTACATTTTTTAAACATAAATATGTGTGTAATGAGTCATTCTAAAGAGCTCACTAAATCGGTACTGCAGTGGTATTGTAATAGGACGCCACCACTGCAACAAGTCACTTTGTTAAATTTCCTAAACATTTCAGAATCAGCTGTAAGTTAGAACAGTTGTGGCCATCTTCCTGATGCAATCATGGATATTTGTTGTTTCATCCTGGACACGGTTCTGACACACACATCCTCAGCCTCTTTCCTTCCACTTAGCCTACAGTCTCAGGGTGCTATATTTGGGACTAAAACCCTCCATGCATAGGACAGAGTTAGTGGCATCTAACTTCTCCTTTGCCCAGCTTATTAAACCAGCAGGGTATTTGATGACTAGCATGGTGTAGGTATTAATAGCCCAGGATCTTGTTCTTTCCATTCAGCTGAGTCCTCAGGACTTGACTTACACTCTGGAGGTATTTGGTGGTTGCGGCCTTCCTAGTAACATCTTCATGGTTCCCATTTGCCTGTGAGATTCCACCGTACTCAGGCTACTTTCACACTGCAGGCCTTAATGCTCAAATTCAATTTTTTGTCTGCTTGTTCACACTACAAATAAAATTTGACAGCAAACACGCTCTAGTGTGAACCGTCAAAGTGGCCCGCATGCGCAAAAGAAGCCGTCACACACAACGCGTTCTGTTTAGACCCAGACCAAACAGTATTGTTTGACTGATGGCCCTTAATATAAAGACTTTTTTCAGACTTTACATTTTCCAATTTTGCTTTAAGTTATAAAATTATTTTGTTATTTACATATGGCCTAATAATTATCCTTATTGCTGTTTTAGAGAGGAGCGGTGCTTCAAAGGCTAGTTGCAGATTTCTGTCAGAATCAGCAGATTATACAGTACAAATAAAATCTTCACGTTTCTCCAGCGTCTTCCCAACAGTTTCACTAACATCTACACGGGATGGCTAGGAAGCATTCACGATGTCTTCTCGGATGCTTCTCCAGCGCTTCTTCGGTGCTGATAATTGCCGTCTGTCTTGTGTTAGTGACGTAAAAGACGGATTTAATGCGACTTGACCATTCAAACAGCAGTCGCTGTCTAAAACATCAGATCAGTACCACATACGAAAGTGGCCCAGGTCGGATTTGAAAATATTGGATTTGTGCTGTTCACACTGTCATACCATGATCGGATATGTGTCACAAAGGGTCAAAAAAGTCAGATATGATGCACTTTCATCTGCAGTGTGAACGTAGCCTTAGTTATTCTCAAGGTCTGCAGTGTTGCCTTCTGGTAGTGCAGTCCCCTCAGAGCTGGATGGGGACAAAAAGTCAATATGGCCGGTGTGCCATATATCTATATATTATACATATATCTATGCATTTCATTTTGTTTGACAGTTTTTAATCAGTTTGGTACAGTTGCTGTTATTTATTTCTTTGTTGCATTGCAGAACGTCAAAATTTAAAGCTACACTTTAGCTGTTAGCAGTGGCTCATGGTTAAAGTAGCCAATTATTTAACCCAAATCCTTGAATCTCTCATATCCTATTTATGTTCCTCCATCTATAGTCTATAATTTTACTTTGTCTCTTCCTCACTTATCTACAGCTGGTGCTCCACCAGTAGCCTCCTGAGACTGTGAGGCCTGGTTACGAGTTGTTACTGGTACTAAAGCCCCACAGCTAACAAGTCGGTAAATTTGACACACTATTACTAGCTTGCTTTTTGTTGTTTTCTCTCAGTTTTCAAGCTCCACCTTTTCGCCACTTCTTCCGAACTAAAGTTTTCCTACAACGTGCATAAGCGCACAGTGAAGATAGGGGAGGGGCTGGTCCTTTGTCAGCTCACTTTTGTGTGTTTTACATAGGAGGAAGAGTGATTGCAACTGCAGTGGCAGTGGCATACTTAGAGTTGAAAAATAGGAAGTGTTGCACTTGGAGTTTTCAAGTGCAACAGTTCATACGATTTTGTCTGCTCACTTATCAATATGGCTCTCTGTCTCAGGATTATTTATATCATCACTGGACTAACAGGTATGTGGCAGGGGCTTTTAAAAATTTGCTTAGCATCTCTGTTGATTTTCAATTTCCAATAGTATTAATTTGTAATTTGTAATAACTTACTAAAAGAGATTTTATTTTATTAGCAAAACATTTAATTCTGAAAACATGTAGATAATCAACAGAACTATTCTATTAAAATGTGCATTTGTTTCTTTGCAGGAGTTCACAGCATAACTACAGTCAGTGAAGTATCAGTGAAAACTGGGAAATCTATCTCCATCCCATGTCTCTATGAGTCCAAATACAAAAACCATGTGAAGTACTTGTGTGAAGGATCTAAATGGAGATCCTGCAGCGATGTATTAAAAACAAACACAGCAGACCCTTCAGGAAAATATTCAATCTCTGATGATAAAAAACAATTTTTTTTTACTGTAACTATAAACAATCTGACAAATGAAAACACTGATTACTGGTGTATGGTGGAGATTAATAATGGACCGGATTATGGAGAGCATTTTCAACTGTCAGTTACCAGTGGTGAGGTTCCATCTTTGTTAACATTTTAAAGTTGTTGTTATTAAAAGTTAATAGAAATAGACGTGAAGTCTAAATTGCCAATGGTTTTTCAAATCTGTATTTTTTGTCCTTCTATCCACTCATTACTTTATTTATTTTAATGTTTGTCCTTGAAGATACCCCCAGTCTCTATGTGGATCATCAGAGGATTACAGGATACATTGGAGAAAGCATAACTATTAGATGTCACCACAGTAACTCTGGAGAAATGAAGTGGTGCAGGCTGGGCAGGAACTGTGTGACAGGATCATCTGGATCCATAGATGGAACAACAGTGACCGCTTATATGAGCAAACCAAATGTTTTCACAGTGACAATGAGTGGACTACAGTCAGAGGACAGTGGCTGGTATTGGTGTGCTAAAGGGGACATTCAGATACCAGTATATTTAACTGTTACTGAGAAACCAATCACCAGTGAGTACTGCAAGTAATTATGAACTTGACATGTGCACAAGAGATATTAGCACAATCATTGTTACGTGTATGAAATCCATCCATTTATAAATGTTAGTACTCTCAGAGGACAATCATTGTTACAGTACTCTAGTACTGACTGTTGTTTTGTTGAATTATAGCTACTGCCCATACTTTTACTGGAGATAGAACAATTACCACATTTAAAAATGGACAACAAAGGTCAGATATCTTTTGTATTTGCAGTAGATTTAGCGACAAAACTGTTATTTTGACTAAAAACCTTTTATGCTCAACTTAATTATGTGTTCTCAAACTGCATGTTGCAGAGCTTCATTTGACCTCAAGATCCTCATCATCCCTCTGAGTGTGTTGATCTTTATTGTAATTGTGGTGTTGTTCATCTGGTTGATACTGAGAAACAGTAAGTCTTGTTAAACTTTGATTTAAATCCAAATAGTATTTACTTGAATTTATGCATTATTGTTGGCTATTTTGCATTGTTAACACAGAGTCTGTAACAGGTGCTTTGTTTTTTCTCTAGAGCAGAGAAAAGCAGACTCATCAGCCACAGCAATGGTGAGTTATATTGATTTATTTCTCTGTGAGCTTGGTACATGATTCTACAAGAATAGCTAAATTAATTGATAGGGAAAACTTTTATAAGTACAGTTTTGCAGATGTTCTAATTATTTTCTGTTTTCCAATGCAGGCCGGAGTGGAGGTAGCATACGCTGAAGTTAGACCCAAGAAAAAACACTTAGGCAAGGTAAACAACTGCTGTCCTATCAAGAACTCAAGTCTAGGATTTTCAGTGAATATACTGACAGTGGAAAGTAAAATGTCTAATTGATCAAATTAATCTTCCAGTATTGTCTTCATGCATGCTCAATCATCCATAGAACGAAATCCAAAAAGTTAATCTGTTCTACGTCCAGAAGAACAAATTCAACTCTCCTTTAAAGCTCTGTATGGAAAGAGTTTGGAGTAACCAGGCTGACACCTTTCAGTCTTTCTCTAAATTACATTTTGTTTATCCTACACAGGTGGACCAGGAAGTAATATAC